AGGTCTTTCTCCCTCAGAGCCATTGGGTGGGTTCGAACAACTGGCCTTTCAGTTAGCAGCCAAGTGCTTAACTGTTAGCGCCAGAATAGTTGACTATTATTGGAGATGTAATATATATAAAATTGGTTACATTTCTATGCACCGGCCATGAAGTGTTGGAAAATATAATTTAAAAATTGGAAAGTACTGAAATAGAGACAGTGGGAGTAGACAAGCTGTTAAATAAGTTGGATGGTGAACGGGAGGCGAGAAGTTATTGGCCGCAGCTAGTGGAGAGGTAGGGATTGGCAGAGCTTTTATAGGAAGAGAGAGATCTGAGCCTATGTGCATGCAAAGATGAAGGAGCCTGGGAGCAAGAGCAAGAGAGAGAGTGCAATAGCTGGATGATACAGGAGGGAGCGATGAAGGACAGATGAGGGATGGGAGGGAGGGACGTAGGAGGGACAGGAGGGAGGTCCTTGGGGAGAGAGGCAGGCACCACCTTCAGAGGCAGTGGTGGTGGCAGTGGCAGCACACATTCATGGTGACGGGGTGGAAGAGAAAAGCACAGGAGGAGGGAAGGAGGTTTGTGGCTTTGGCAGTCCCTGGCTGCTTGCAAATGATTTTCCATTTGTAACCTGAATGAGGTTTTCAAAATGCCTTTAAGGGTTACAGCGTCAGTGTGGGGAGTTGCAGGTAGGATTTGGGGAGTAGGAGGATGACCTTGATCTCACTGTTCCACATGCTCCCTGCAGGCTTCACATACATGCTTCATCTCGTGCTTCGGGCTCAGCAAGGCTGAGCAACCTGCCCAGGGCCCCACCAGTAGGGAGTAGGTGGTAGACATGCTGAACGGACGTCCATCCACTGGGAGGACAGCGCTGAAGCCCCCAGGCCTGGTGAGGGTTGCCTTTCCCTAACCTGCTGCAGGTCACTGTGTGTGTATGTGTGTGTGTGTGTGTGTGTGTGAGAGAGAGAGAGAGAGAGAGAGAAAGAGAGAGAGTTCATATGTCCGTCATGAAATAGTGACCCTAAGAGCCAGACCAGCTGACTGTCACACATGCATATGCAGTAACTCCAGGAAGTTCAAAAGCTGCTCTAACCTCACCCTGGTCACTCTCAATGTGAGTGATGGGCCATGACTCTCAGCAGCATCTTGCTGGGGGCAGTGGGCCAATTCAGTGCTCCCCCCACCTGCTGTTGGCATAGCAGCCATTGAGCATCACCACATTAAATCTTCCAAAGACCCAGATGCAGGGAACACTTCCCATCCCTGCCCTTATGGAGCCCACTTTGTAGACACAGGCATGAATGGTGGTACGTGAATGTCAAGTGTCAAAATGGCGCCATGGTGGTGGATGGGGAACTGTGCCTGGGTAAGGCAGGGGTCAAGGAAGGGCTGAGCAAGGCCACCCATTTGCCATCCAGTGGAAGGGTCCAGGACAAGTCAAGGACAGATTGGAGATTGGGTCATCCAGAGCCTAAGGGATAACACCAAGGCACACCATCTTCCTCACAGGCCATGGAATGCCATCAAGAGCCATGAACAGGTCTTCATTTTAGAGACAAGATCCTGGGAATGGGTGGGAGATAGGTGGAAATGACAGAGACCAGAGGTCAGAAAGCAGCCAAGATGATATATTCATAGCTCCGGTGGATGGAGCTGAAGCTCAGAACTGAGGTCAGGGCAGCAGATGTGATGAGAAAGGCAAGAGTCAGGACCAACCGGACATGGAGGGAGAAAGAAGAGGAGTTGGAGATGATTTTAACATCTCCACAGAGAAGAGTGGATGGGTGGCTGGATGGATAGGAGGAGGGATGGATGATAGGTAGATGGATGGATGATGGATGGATGGACGGATGGATGAGGAGGTCAGGATGTCCCTGATGGAGTTGAAAACAGGTGGAGTAACAAAGTTTGGGTGAGGTTGTACACACCCATTGGTGGGCTGCCGAAAGCGTGGGGCTTGAGTATGGGAAGACATCTGTTGGTACAGAAATAGTACTGTGGAATGGACAGGCCTGGGGAAAGGAAGTGGAATGAAAAGACAAAGGTGGAATTTTCCTGCTAGCTAGTGAAGGCCACATGCAGGCTTGAGCCCTTCCTCCTCATTTATTGTAGGTGGTGGGACCTCTCAGGACCCTCCTGAAGTGGCCAAACCCTACCGCATAGGTAAAGGCAGAATATAGCAGGCAAACAACCTTGAGAGGGCTCCACTGATGGACTTATTGACTTCTCAGCATTGACACTCAGGCTCTGGTGCTGGCACACAGAGGACAAACACTCAAGCATTTGTCAGTTGAGCGGGGTAGAACCTCCTTGCTGCCGTCTGGGGCGCTCCCTAAGACCAGGGCACTGGACTGCCCGGGCACTGGTGTGGGGGGCGCCTCCCCCACACTGACACCAGCAGGGGCGAGCTACGGCAGTGGAGGTCTCTCCACATGTACAGCCAGGTGCCCCTTCACTGCGTGCTTGTTCTTATCAGCGCATCAGGCAGGTGAAGGCTCTTGGTTGGAATCTGCACGATTAATTTCAAAGCCCTTTAAGTGTGTTTTGGAGTGGTTTGGATAGAGGGGAAAGTAGGGTCGGTGGCAAGCCGCTCCTTGCAAGCAAATACCACGTGTTCCTGCACATCTCGAGCGGTGACTCATATGCCCGCCTGGAGTGAGAGCTTTCCAGCAAGCCACGCACCAGTGAGCACCAAGAAGAGCACAAATGCGGAGAGCACACAATCCTGGGCCTTGGCGCCGCGCCTGGCCCTCATGGGCTTTCTGTAAACTCCCAGTCCTACCTCTGGGCGAGGCGTTTCATCTCCCAGATTACCGACAGGCTGAAATGATTTGTTGTGCATTAGTGCATTGCCTTTGTTCTTTTTCTGGGAAAGGTGGTACGTGGCGTGCAGCTGTCTGTGCATGCACAGCCCCATTAAATGGAAAGCGCATTGCTAACGCTTCTTTTTTCTTTTTTTAAAGGGTGGTTTTGTAGGTTTGCTTTTCACATTAGTTAAGGAAGCAAACCTTTTCGCCAGTCTTCCTCTTTCTCAATCAACCGTGATTTCCACCCAGGGTAGCCAGGGTGTTCGATGTGGGGTTTTCTCCCATGCCGCGCTCGCCCCTTGCAGCCAGGCTGGGCACTTCGCCCTCTGCTAAGTGCCAACTCCCTGTTTCCTGACCCTGTCTGGCATCCAAGGCCAAGGGCACGGCCTCGGCCATAACAGAAGTCTGTTTTATGGTCTGCTTTGATTCCTGTTTGTAATGCATTTGACGAATGTTAATGCTAGAATGGGTGGTGCAAACAGCTACGCACTGGACTACTAACGGAAAGGTTAGCAGTTCGAACCCACCCCGAGGCCTGGCATTCTGCTTCTGAACAATCACAGCCTAGAAAACCCTCTGGAGCAGTTCTACTCTGCACACATGGGGCCTCCATGAGTCGGAATCAACTTGAGGGTAACAGGTTAACGGGTTAATGCTAAAACGGTCCCCTCGCACGTCACACATCTCCAGGGTTTTAATTTCTGGAAAGTACCTGGCCTGTTGACGGCAACATGGGCATGCAGGCTTGACCTCCACAGCTCACCTGGTTCCCCAGACTCCACATGGCCTGGGCTTGGCAAAATGCATCCAGCATGTGGTCACAGTTGGGGGTGTCTCTTTTGTGAAGACACTGAACCCCCTGGGAGGTTGGACTGGACATGTTTGGGCAGGGCCCCACCTGGAGGGATTGGCCAGGGGCTCCTCTCTCCACCCTGACCTGTCAGGCTGCCTGGGACCCAGAAGCGAGCGTGCCCCCACCTCACAGCCGGGTAAATGATGAGATAGGGTCGTACAGGTGGGCATGCATGTCCCGCCAGCCTGTGGAGCCCTGGCCTAGGGAGCCTTTTCCAGAAGGACCCAGGGGAGGCTGCTCTGGGCCACATCACAATCTCTCTAAGTCCAAACCTAGAGCGTGTGGACAGGATTTGTGATGATGACCTGAGGCTGGACCCCCGCACCCCATGAACCCACAGCACCCCAGCCCTCCCCACCACTGCCATCACCCCGTTCTCCTGCCACATTCTCGTTCCAGTTTCTGGTCAACAGCAGCCTGTGGGAGATGGACGGGCCATGAGGGTCTGCAGCGTGGTCCACCAGCCTTCCGGAGAGCCCGGGGTGTGCCCCCAGCTGCTCTGTGGGAGCTGATTTCATCTTCCCGGGCACTGGGGCCACTGGTCAGCCCCACCTTGTTGGGGATAAAAAATAGAACATGTGATCTCGTTGTCGCTCCATCTTTGGTGGAAAATAGAAGTTTCTGTTAACTCAATGCAAAAAACAAACCAAACTGCTGCCTTCGAATCAATTCCGACTCACGGCGACCCTATAGAACAGAGTAGAACTGCCCCATAGGGTTTCCAGGGAGTGGCTGGTGGATTCGAACTGCCAGCCTTTTGGTTAACAGCTATAGTTCCTAACCACTGCACCACCAGGGCTCCAGCTCAGTGCAGGCGATGATTCATTCGTTCTTATTCGACAGCAAAGGTCCCAGAGCTGGGAGGTCCCCCTCCCTCCAGCCACACCCACTGTGCTGTGGAGACCAGGCGGGGTCAGCCGCACAGGCACAGACCGAGAGCCCTGGGGGCCTGCCAACCCAGCATGCCTGCCTCCACGATATTTTTTTAAATTTTAAATTAAATGCCAATGTGAAAAAATTGAGAACCATCCTACAGAAATCCAGTTTTCCAGCTTCTCTTGCACAAACTAGATGCTGTGTCCCCTCAAAACCCCAACGCCCAGACTACGTCCACTCATGGCAGTGGCCGGCTAAGGAGGGGTCCCTTGGCAGGGCCCGAGACCCTGTGATGGGCGGTGCCTGGCACCCCCCTGGGTGAACCAAATAGAAAGGACATCTGCCTTGATTTTTCCTCCTTCTGACATGGCAGATGGTCACGGTTGAAAGCGGCCCGTTTGGCCACTTCCCTCCCGGGGCCCCTGCCCACGTGGCCACTGTGGGCGCCACTGACCCGCCTGCCTCTCTGCCGCAGTTCGTGTGCACCGTCATCGCCATCCTCCTGCACTACGTCCACATGAGCACCTTCGCCTGGACCTTTGTGGAGAGCCTGCACGTCTACCGCATGCTGACCGAGGCCCGCAACATCAACTCGGGGCCCATGCGCTTCTACTACGTCGTGGGCTGGGGTGTCCCGGCCGTCATCACAGGTGAGTCCAGCGGGCCCGAGGGAGGGGCAGGAGTGGCCACTGCTCAGTGCAGCTCCACCTGTCATTGTTGACACAAGAACCCACGTCCCAGGGAAGCCAGCTCCGCAGTGGGCAGGAGACATCTGTCCTCCTCGCTTTTCTGTACCAGCTCCGATGCTTGACTGGCACCCGCAGCGGAGGCCTAGGCCCTGCTCTCCCGTCTGCACAGACAGTGCAATCGCTCAGTACTTTCTAGCACCTAACAGACAAAAATTCAGTGTCTGCCGGATGGATGGATGGATGGATGGATGATGGATGGGTAATGGATGGGATGATGGATGGATGGATAATGGATAGAAGGATGGATGATGGATGGATGGATGATGGATGGATGAATGGAGGGAGGAGGAACCGATGGATGAATGGAGGAAGGGAGGATGGATGGGTGGGTCTATGGATGGGTGAAGGTATTTATGTATGGGTGAGCAGATGAATAAATGGATGGGTGTGTGTATGTATGTATGTGTGGTTAGATGGATGGATGGATGGGTGGGTGAGTGGGTGGATGGATGGAGGAGGGATGGATGGATATGGATGGATGGAGGAAGGCAGGGTGAATGGGTGAGTGGGTGGATGGATGGATGGAGGAAGGCAGGGTGAATGGGTGAGTGGGATGGACGGATGGAGGAAGGCAGGGTGAATGGGTGAGTGGGAGGATGGATGGATGGAGGAAGGCAGGGTGAATGGGTGAGTGGGTGGATGGATGGATGGAGGAAGGCAGGGTGAATGGGTGAGTGGGTGGATGGATGGATGGAGGAAGGCAGGGTGAATGGGTGGATGGATGGATGGAGGAGGGGAGTATGGATGGTGGACGAATGAAGGGACAGAACAGCACTTCTTCCTTAGCACACTTCTTCCTAAATATCAGAAAGGGAACATTTGGTCTCTCCCGGGACAGATACGTACTCCCCACCACAAAAGGAAAAGCTTAACCCTCTTCTCCTCAGTAGTCCCTGTGTTTCAGGGGTCCAGACACAGAGCCCTCCATCCTTCCTGGAGGCCCTGGGTGGAGGTCTTGCTGCCCCAGGGCTCTGGCAAGCAGCCACCCTGGTCCAGTGGCAGGGTTGGCTTCAGGTCCATTCTGGCTCCCACAGTTGGCACCAGACTGGTGTCCTGACATCCTCACGGCCTGGTAGGCAGACGTGGCCTCTCCTCTCTAATAAGGACACCACTCACATTGAATTCGGACCCACCCTACTGTCACATCAACCTGACTCATAACATCTCCAAAGATCCTATTGCCCAATGAGGTCATGTTCACAGGTACCAGGGGTTAGGACTTCAACATACCTTTTTTGGGGACACAATTCAATTCATAACATGCCTCTAATATTATTTTCGCTTCTCTTTTTTAATTAGAAAATTAAGCTTAGAAACCAAATATCTCATTTTGTTTACTTCAGCTTCTATGAAGAGAAATGAAGAAGTAAAATCAAAATTACTTGCTAATTTTGTACACAGATTTAAACTTGTGCTGTGTGATTTTCCACGGTGCCAAGGAAGCTCAGATCTGTTCGTCCTAAGTCTATACCATCCCCATTTGGGGTGTTCGTAAAAGAGCACCCTCCACCTCCCCCCTCCCCGTCTCAAGGAGCTGGAGGAAGTGTCTGTAAACAGCAGGGAGGGGTGTCCCAGGCGACCCCTGTCTGCTTCCTGCACCTCAGGACTAGTGGGGGCACCCATCATCCCCGACACTTGGGAATGGGAAAGGGTTTGCCCTCGGCCACAGGCCACAGCTGAGGCCCCTTCTCAGGTTAGCCTCAGTCCCGGGTGGGTGCCCTGAGGGGCCATGGTCAGGGAGGGGGTCAGGCACATCTGAGGCCCTCGAAGCAGGGGCTGACCCCATGAGGTGGGCAGGAAAGGGCTCTGCAAGAGGGAATCGCAGAGGCCGCTTGGTTCTGGAAAAATCACACCTTGGAGGCCACAGGGGCGGCACCCCATGCCAGGCCCCCGACGGGAGAGTTCTGGGTCTTCAAGTCACAGTCACAGGCTCTGTCCCCGGAACGTGTGGGCGTGCCTTCAGCGGCATGTGCTACGGGCTGGACTTGGGGCTGGTGTTCGTGCATTCGCCTTAACTTTTCCTGGGCGGGAGACTCCTGAGGACAAAGGCTTCGGCTCCTGCCGCCCTGTCCCCAGCCAGGCACAGAGCCTGGCGCAAAAGGGCCCTGGATGGGTGGATGAGTGAACGCACTCACTCGCCCGTCCCGAGGGGCATTCGGGAAACCGAGGCCTGGGGTCCCAGAGGAGCTCAGACAAATGCCTTTCCACGTCCACTTCACAAATGCTCGCTGGCCCTGGGGTGGTCAGTGTGGGCACAGATGACACACAGCCCCCGCCGCACGCCGCTCTGCCTGCGGGGTGGGACAGGAGGGAGGACACAGCGGAGTGCCCCCACCAGGCCGGGTGGGCAGCGTCAGAAGAAAAAAACCAAACGAGGGAGACGTCCTCCGTCAGGTGACGTCTCCGTCCGAGTGTCAAGAGCACTTTTACGCGGAGCGGCTAAGGGTGCGGGTTTCCATCGCGTGTGTCCCCTGCCCCCCGAGATCTCTCACTTTCCACCCCAACCCGGGTAGAGACCCCTCCACATGCTGCCCATGTTGAGAGGCCACTGTCCCTTGAGGTGGCTTTGGAATCTGAATTCAGACTGTCCACTTTTCCCGCCTGCTGAAAGACCATTTTTTTCATCACTGAAGTCTCTTGCCAAAGGGCTTAAGTGACCCTGGGAAGGACAGGCTGAGGTGACAGTGTTGGCCAGTTGCAGCCGCCGGGTTGGGCCGGGACTCATCGGCACCAGGTCGGCCTTCTTCCTGACCCAACGCCCGCCCAGCCACCCAGGTGCTTCTCTCAGGTCCTTTGTACCCTGATGCCCAGACGGGGCCGTGGTTCCAGTTCCAGCCTCGGTCTCCCGGGGGCCCCGCCCTGTGTGGTCCCCAAGGCACCCCCCAGACAGGATGGAGCCCGTCCTCAGGGCCTACACAGGTGACTGAGGTCAGCACTGTGTCTGCAAAGTGGGGGCCTCTTGGGACCGCTCTGGCAGCCCTGTGCTGGGGCCATGGGAACCACTCCCCAGCTTCGGTGTTGCATCGGGGTGACCTGGGTAACAACAGAGCTTCCGTGGGCCCCGTTTGCCAGCACCTCCCATGACCCACCAGGCCTTGGCTGCCCAAATACTGCATGACACTCAATGAACGCCTTTATCCATTTGCTCACCCTCGAGGGCTTCTTTTATGCTAGGCTCCGTGCCAGGACAGGGCGGCACCCACAAAGCCTCTGTCCTCACAAGGCACCCCCCACGAGGGAAGACAAGCGTCAGCCACAGTGCACGAGGCTTAGGTGCATCCGTGAAACTGGCACTGAGGCGGGGCTCGGGAGCTTGGGGGGTAACGGCCCTCCCCCGGGGTAGGGGAGGCTGGAAGGCTTCCTGGAGGAAGTGCCTTTGGAGCTAGATCTGGCCACACTTGGGGTGAGCGTGGCGCATGCAGAGTCCTGAGCCTGGGGGCATGGAGGTGGAGCTGGAGCAGAGTGTCCCCACAGCCATTCCGTGCAGGGCCCCGAAGACCACCGAGACCACCGCGTCTTCTCCTCAGGCCGTGGGAACCACGGGAGGGTTTTAAGCAGCTTTGAGATTTGAAGGAGAGCCGCCAGGAGGCCGCGGAACAGCTCAGGCCAGAGTCGGGGGAGAACGGGGGCGGGGGAGCCAGAGCCGAGGAGGGCTGCGATGGGGGCAGGTCGCGCCTGCACTTGTTTCCCCAAACAAGGTCTGTGATGAAGGGGGCACCCCAGCATCATCGTGCAGACAACTCTGCACGGACAGCTGGTTACCAGGACAACCGCAGGGATTCCCACCACATCGCCCGGAGTGCCGTCTGCATGTACTTTCTCCTGGGGGGCTGGGTGTCGTGTGTGTGTGTGTGTGTGTGTGTGTGTGTGTGTGTGTGTGTGTGTGTGTGTGAGAGAGAGAGAGCATTGCATGTGTGTGTGTGTGCAAGTGTATCTGTGAACGTGTGAGGGTATGTGTAAGCACGTCTGTGTGTATGTGAGCATGTGTCTGTGTGAGCCTTGTGTGGGTGTGTGTGTCTCTGGGTGTGTGTGAGCGTGTGTGTGAGCCTTGTGTGTGTGTGTGAGCGTGTGTGTGTGTATCTGAGTGAGCATTGTCCCTCGGTGTGAGCACATGTGGGTGTGTGTGAGCATGTATGTGTGAGTATTGTCTGTGTATTGAGCACGTGTGCATGTGTGTGAATGTGTGTGTGTCTCTGCAGGGTGTGTGTGAGCATGTGTTATATGTGTATGTGTGCATGTGTCTGTGTGACCCTTGTGTGTGTGTGTGTGTGTGTGTGTGAGCATATGGTGTATGTGTGTATGTGTGAGCACGTGTGTGTGTGTCTGCGTGTATGTGCACACATTCTCACACACACAGCCTCCAGCTTGCTCAGTCTCCTCGTCCTGGCCTGCGTGGCCCCGAGCGCTCCCTGCCACCCCTCAGAACCCTGTCCTGCACCTCTATTCCTCTCTCATCTCTGCAGGGGCTCCCACAGGGCCGCCCTGCCCGCCTGCCCCCTGGGCCTGTGTGGGCCGCCCTGTGGTTGGACACCAGAGGGATCTTGCCTGGAGGGACCTGTGTGGGGTCCCTTGGTCTCGGACGTCCCTCCGAGGATGAGGCCTGGTCCCTGGACCCTGCCTCGGTGAGGACTCACTCTTTCCTCCTCCCTGCTGTGTCCAGGACTGGCGGTGGGCCTGGACCCCCAGGGCTACGGCAACCCCGACTTCTGCTGGCTGTCTCTGCGCGACGCTCTCATCTGGAGCTTCGCCGGGCCCATCGGGGCTGTGATAGTTGTGAGTGCCGGGGGTCCCTGCGACTTGGGGACATGGGAACCCAGGCCTCTGGGGGGACTCTTGGGGGCCTCAACCAGCCACTGTCACCTCAGGCCGTCCTGGGGCTGGGCAGGAAGGGGCAGGCCTGGCTGTAGTGATCACTGACACTGCCAGGTCCGTTCCCGGCCTCATCTTCAGATCCCCGTGTCCACCACCAGTCGGCCCTGCTCCCGGCCGGGGATGGCCATGCAGGCAGAGCTGGGCTGCCCCTCTGCCAGGGAAGCCCAGAGACAGCCTTGCCCACGGGGCCTCGGGACCCCAGGACAGCCCCCGGGACATGGGAGGGAAAGTCCTCGGGAGCACTGGGCTTTTCAAGGCTCCACTCAGAGCAAGACAAGGTGCCACTTAATTTCTTCTTTCTTTTTTTTTATCTCCCCAGATCAATGCAGTTATTTTTGTCCTGTCTGCCAAGGTTTCCTGCCAAAGAAAGCACCATTACTATGAGAGGAAGGGGGTCATGTAAGTTGGTGCAGAGCTTGACCGGCAGGGGTGGGCCTGGCCCAACACCCCGCAGCCCGTATGCGGTGAAGAGGGAGAGCCGAGTGGCCGGGAGGCCCTGGGCCCAGCCCAGCACCAGCCCCAGGGCGAGGCTTCTTAGCCCTCTCACCTGAGCCCATCAGCCCCTCCACCGTCTTCAGCCTCCCTGACCTGCTGAACGGCTCCTGGGGCTGCGCCCTTGTCCCAGCCCTCGACTGCCATTAACACATTCGGTCCCTCCACAACCCCATGAGGGTGTGCCGTGATCATCCCCCCCTTTTACAGATGGGGAAACTGAGGCCGAAGGGAGGGCGGGTGGGTGGTGGGAGGTTCCACAACCCCATGAGGGTGTGCCGTGATCATCCCCCCCTTTTACAGATGGGGAAACTGAGGCCGAAGGGAGGGCGGGTGGGTGGTGGGAGGTTCCACAACCCCATGAGGGTGTACCATCATCATCCCCCCCTTTTACAGATGGGGAAACTGAGGCCGAAGGGAGGGCGGGTGGGTGGTGGGAGGTTCCACAACCCCATGAGGGGATCACTGTTGTCACCCCCTTTTACAGACAAGGAAACTGAGGGCGGAGGGAGTGGGAGGGGGCTGGGTGGTGGGAGGGGGGAGGATGCTGAGTCACGCACCCCCCAGCTCCCTGCTGAGGACGGTCTTCCTGCTGCTGCTGCTCGTCGGCGCCACCTGGCTGTTGGGGCTGCTGGCCGTGAACCGCGACTCTCTGGCCTTTCACTACCTCTTCGCCGTCTTCAGCTGCTTACAGGTAGGCGTGGGACGGCGGGGCCCAGAGGGTCCCGGGGATCCAGGAGCTGTGTCCTCACCGCCCTAGGACAGGCGGGCTGCGCCGTGCCTGCGTCCTGGACGGCCTGATGTGTAGGGGGTGATGGCACAGCCCCCCACCATCTCACCACCCACACAGGAAGCCTGTCCCCAGCCTCCCAGGCCCCGTCCTTGTAACCCCCATGCCGGTCAGCGCAGCCCTCTGCTCGGCCAGCACAGGACTGTCCCTCCTCCCTGCTGTATCTGGGGACAGTGAACCGTGGCCGCTGTGTCCCTGGGTGGAGTGTTGGACATTCACATCCAAGGGCTCCCGGAGGTTGAGGGCCTGTGGGCTATGGAAGGGGGTCTCAGGAGGCTGTGGCTCCAGCGCCCTGGCCGCCCCGTCCGGCCCCTAGCTAAACGAAGCCCCTCTGGAGGGGAGGCCTGGAGTGGGCTTGGGGGCGTCTCTGGTCCACGCCGGCAGGGCTGGTCCTGCACTCACGGCCTCCACGCGTTGGGGGCTGTGCTGCGGCATCCTCGGGGCGCACGGTCCCGCGGCTCATGCTGCCTGGCTGCGTCTCCTGAGGCCGTGTGCCCTGACTGCCCCCTCCCGCTCTCCAGGGTCTCTTCGTCCTCTTGTTCCACTGCGTGTTCAACAGGGAAGTCCGGAAGCACGTGAAGGGGTTGCTCACCGGCAAGAAGCTGCACCCGGATGACTCAGCCACCACCAGGGCCACCCTGCTCACGGTAGGGACGCCAGGACACCGCCTGCGGGGCCGTAAGCCGAGATGTGCCCCCCTGAGGGAGGGCTGGCCACACATCCCGGCTGAATGCCCCTCGACATGGGGGCACCCCAGAACACTGGGGGCCGCCAGGCAAGGCCCCACGAGCCAGAAACAGTGGCTCTGAGGTGCGAGGCCATCCTCCCCCAGGTTGGTGGGGCGGGCGGTCAGGGGCTGGCATTTGGGGGTCTGCTGTGGTCACTTGGCTATCAAGGCCAGGCTGGTGCCCAGGCTCCGCCGACAACCAGCCGTCCCTCCCCAGCGTTCCCTCAACTGCAACAACACCCACAGTGAGGAACCCGACATGTACCGCACGACCCTAGGCGAGTCCACCGCCTCGCTGGACAGCACCCTCAGGTCAGGCATCTCCCTGGGGGTGGGGCGGGAGGCCTGTGCCACATGCCCCACGAGCTGGGGGTGCCTCGCTCTTGTCTGGCCGTTGCTGTCAGTCAGAACACAGATTGGAGCATTGCAGAGAACATTCCAGAACCCCAAGGGTCTTGCCCCCCGGCCCATGCAGAAGGTGCTCAGTGACGCCAGGTGCTAGCACCATCCATCCCTCCGAGCAGTGATGCTGAACCCCCCACTGAGCCCTCCCCTCCTCTCTAGGGACGAAGGCATCCAGAAGCTCGGCGTGTCCTCGGGGCTGGCACGGGGCAGCCACGGGGAGACAGATGCGCCCTTTGTCCACAGGAGCACCAAGAAGGCCCATGGTACGGTTCCCTGGAGGGGCTCCCGCAGCCTTGGAGAGTGGTCAGTGGCCACCGTCACTCTCCCTGGGTGTCTGAGCCTCCTGGTGCTGCTCTTCACAGCAATACCACAGGGGCTGGCTTTGAAGAACAGACTTTTATTTTCGCACAGTTCTGGAGGCTGGAAGTTGGAATTCAGGGCACGGGTCTAGGGGAGGTCCTTCTTGTTTATTTCAGCTCTAGCAGCTGCCGGCAGCCCTTGGCGTTCTGGCCTGGTAAATGCGTCTGCCTCCATCCTCATCAGATGGCACCCCTCCTCCCCCTGCGCGTTTGCTTATCTCTGTGTGTTCCTTATACCTCAGAAGTGATTAGGTCTAGGACCCACCCTGCACTGACATGGCCTTGTTAACATAACAGAGAAACGCTGTTCCCAAACGAGATCCCACCCACAGTATAAAAAACCAAAAAACCAAACCAGCTGCCGTCAAGTCAATTCCAACTCAGAGCGATTCCGACTCATAGCGACCTTACAGGACAGAGTAGAACTGCCCCATAGAGTTTCCCAGGAGCGGTTGGTGGATTTGAACTGCTGACCTTTTGGGCGTTAGGATTTACAACACCTATTTTTGGGGGACACAGTTCAGTCCATAACAGAGGGTCCACAGGGGCCTGGCTACCCCCAAAGGCCCCGGCTCAGGGGCTTCCTCCAGATATGGCTGGGACCCCCTGGGCCTGAGCCCTCGTCCCCCGTACCCCTGCAGGCTGTGACTCGGACTCGGACAGCGAGCTGTCCCTAGATGAGCAGAGCAGCTCCTATGCCTCATCTCACTCGTCGGACAGTGAGGACGAAGCCGTGGCGGCCGAGGACCAGTGGGACCCCGCCACGCCCCAGGCCCACGCCCCAGGTCCTGTCCACAGCACCCCCAGAGGTAAGCTGGCAGGCATGCAGGCTGCGGGGGGACCAGGCCTTTCCCGGCCACTGGGGTCGGCCGGGGGCTGGGTCACTGCCTCCTAGGATGTGTCTGGCAGAGCTGCAACAGCACAGCAGGCAGCTCGGGTGGGGGCCCCGGCCCCAGGAGGTCCTGCCCTCCCCCTGTCCATGGAGCACAGGTGGGGAGGGGGTCTTGCTCTCTGTGGGTCTTCGCTGCCAGGACAGGGGGTGGTGGGCAAAGCTGGCCCCACCCGGCTGCCCAGCGGGGAGCCCTGGTGAGGCTACAGGATGTTGGAGGTGAAGCGAGAGAGTCACAGCCACAGGCCCCCACGGTCAGGACCCTCCCTCGCAGGCCTCAGTTTCCACCCCAGTAGAGTGTGGCTCTGCCAGGCCTGGAGGACAGAGAATCGTGCTCAT